AAAAGACTTCCCAATCACGCTCCAGTCAGAATTCGCAGATCCTGACTTCATCAATACCGGTCGCTGGACCACTTACAGATTCTCGATTCCCAAGACCGGACAAGATATTCTGGAGAAATTCCTGCAGGCCTTAGAGGCCCACAACATCACGACGACTACTGCAGAATTCTTTGTGGCTACCTCTCCGCGACCTCCTCTGCTCGGTACTTTTTTCAGGGCCCAAACCCCCGAGAGTCAGTTGCGATCTTTTGACTCTGATTCCCATGACCACCAACTGCCCTTCGAGATCCACTACCAGCTTGAGGTCTGTATTTCTCGGGGCATTATATCTGAGTACTCCATCACTCAGGCATTCATCGACCGACTGTGTCAGATGGACAAGGACCGAGCGAAGTGGATGCTCGAGTACTTTGCGGATCAAGGGAAGATGGAATGGAACCCGATGGAGATGTTCGAGAATGAAGAGGCTGCTCTTTATTTTCCTGGTGTGAGCATGCCATACTACTGCACCACGATCCGGAAGGTCATTGTCACACCATCAACCATGCACTTTTGCTCGCCAAGCGTCGAATCCTCCAACAGGGTACTGCGAAAGTACAATTCTTACCAAGACCGCTTCTTGAGAGTCCAATTCACGGACGAGCTGTACAGAGGCAGGATCTATAGCGATGCAGGGAACGAAATCCATCACCGCATCTACCGTGCCCTGAAACAAGGCATCAAGATTGGAAACCGCACTTACGAATTTCTCGCCTTTGGAAACTCGCAAATCCGGGAGTGCGCTGTCTACTTCTTCTGTCCGACCGATCATCTTTCATGCGATCAGATCCGTGACTGGATGGGACATTTCAATCACATCAAGAATGTCGCCAAATACGCTGCTCGCATCGGTCAGTGCTTTTCTACAACACGAGAGATCCGAGGTGTCACTGTTCCTCAAATCGTACGGATGCAAGACATCGAGCGCGGCGGCTATTGCTTCAGCGATGGTGTCGGCAAAATTTCGAAGCTATTGGCCGAAATGGTAGTCCACGAGATGGGCCAAGATACCATTGGAATACCCTCTGCTTTTCAGTTTCGCATGGGTGGCTGCAAAGGCATGCTGGCTGTCTGGCCTGACGCAAAGGGTCTTAATGTCCACATCCGACCTTCCCAAGAAAAGTTCAGGGCCCAGTTCAATGGCCTAGAAATCATCAAGTTCGCACAGTTCTCACCAGCCACGCTGAATCGACAAACCATAACCATTCTTACGACGCTTGGTGTCAAGGATGGTCCGATCTTGTATCTTGCTGAGCAACAAATCCAGGGCTATGAGAAGGCTATGAAAGACCGAGTCGCCGCTGCGAGCTTACTGGGGCAATATATTGACGAGAACATGACATCCCTAACCATCAAAGACCTCATCTGCTGGGGCTTCATGGATGCAGAGGTTCAAGAGCCGTTCGTGCTGACAATTCTGGACCTCTGGCGTATCTGGTCTATGAAGCTGTTGAAGGAAAAGGCGCGCGTCGTCGTCGACCAAAGCGCTTTCCTTCTCGGTTGCCTGGATGAGACAGGCACGTTGAGAGGCCACAGCCAGGCAACTGAGGAGAAGAATACTAACAATATCGAGGACTTGCCGCAGATCTTTGTTCGAATCGCGAATCCACAGGATGGCAAATTTTACTGCGTCACCGGCGTATGCATTGTGGGACGAAACCCTTCACTTCATCCGGGTGATATTCGGGTTGTGGAAGCGGTCGATATCCCTGACCTCCACCACCTGCAGAACGTCGTGGTGTTTCCGAGCACCGGTGATCGAGATGTCCCCAGCATGTGTTCGGGGGGTGACCTTGACGGAGATGACTTTTTCGTCATCTGGAACCCAGACCTCATTCCCAAGAACTGGCACCACCCACCTATGAACTACATCGCACCCAAAGCACCGAAACTAAGGCGGGATGTCAAAGTATCAGACCTGAGAACATTCTTCGTTCGTTACATTCAAAACGACTGTGTGGCAAAGGTTGCACTTGCGCATCTGGCTCATGCCGATTACTCCAGAAAAGGGGCAAACGATTCAAAATGTGAGTGAAATACCAGTGAGTGATGGTGGACAAATATTGACACAGATTCTGTAGGCTTGAGGCTGGCAGCGCTGCACTCCAAGGCGGTAGACTATGTCAAAACTGCAGATCCAGCGGAGTATCCTGACGAACTCGAACCTAAAAAGTGGCCGCACTTTATGAATCGCAAGTACAAACCATATAAATCTACGACTGCGCTTGGCAAGATCTTCGACAGAATCGTAGAGCAGGATCTTAACCCTCTCTACGAGAAGAAATTCGACGGAAGGGTGCTGAAAAGGTTTAAACTGCCCGAGGAATTTCTACAAAAGGCTCGCAGGGTCAAAGGTCAATACGATACTGCTCTGCGTCGTCTGATGAGTCACCGTGACGTTCACACCGAGTTCGAAGCATGGACAGGTTTCATTCTGTCGAGACCCCGGGTTGGCAGCGGCTACAAGCAACAAGAGGACATTGGCCGAGAATCAGCGGCACTCAAGCAAAGATTCCGAGAGATTTGCTATACAGAGGCTGGTAGCAGACGGTTCGAAGACTTCGCCCCTTTCGTGGCTGCGATGTATCAGGTCACTGAGCAGGAGGTCAATGCAGCGCTTGCAGAGGAATACGAAGACGAGGATCACAAGCGACAATCGATGCCCCTGATCAGCTTCCCGTGGATCTTCCACTGGATTATGGGTCGCATCGCCACCGGCCACGTCAAGATCAAGCCTACCGTCGACCCCGAAGCCAAAGCGATACCGATGAGGTCGTACCCTATTAGTTGGGTCGAGCAAGATAACACAGGCACCCAACAGGAGACTCAGCTTGACGACGGCAGAGTGGTGCACCACGGTGACCTATTGGAGGTATTTGAGAACACCACGAAGGAGGCTTCCGGAGTCTCACCATCACCCGAGAACCGCGGTGCTACTACTGGTCAGGAGGACGAGATACACGTTGAAGAGGAAGACACTGCCATGGACGCCATGGAACGACTGATGGAGAGTGCCTTGATCACAGGTTAATGCGGCGCCGGAAATGGCTTGTTTCTGCTGCGACACGGGCGTTTGACAGGTCATTCCCGTAACGGGAGTCATTAATCATCGACAGCGGAGGAGCCGGCGAAGCGATAACGGAGGCAAAGAGAGAGGGCTTTTCAGTGTTTCACGGTTGGGCTTCGATGTTTCCAACACCCCTCCCTCAGGCAACCCTTCTCTTCACTTTTTGACTTCTTCCCGACATGCAGATAGGTAGACACGTAGGCCGGCAATGAGAATAGGGTACAACAATAACCAGTCTCGCTTCTTGACGCACAAATCGCCTGTTTTCCCAAATGCCATTGCGACCCTCAGGGGGAGCGGGAGTCCCGGTCCCGGCTCGTGTCTATCTTCGGTACGGATAGATCCTTGATTTCCCGTACCGATGGAGGGTGGTGGTGGGTGAGTAAGTGAGTGAGTGAAAATGGGTGTGGGTTGGTTCATGGTTCACGTTGCGTTGCGTTGCGTTACCGCGGGAAAGTAGCCAGGGGATGCAAGTGAGTTGGGAATGTAGCCCTACTTTCCTGGTGGCCGTTCGGGGAGCCAACGGGAAGTTAGCCGGATGTGCGTGCGTTCCATTGCTTCTATGCCTTCGATAGCCCGAAGAAACATGCCTACCTAGAAAAAGGAGGGGGGGGGGGGGGATGGAAATAGAAGGGGTCGTGGTGGCAGGTGTTTCCGGTGGTATCAGCAGCAGCAAGTCCAGGTGGCACGCAGAACAAACGTAAACGTATTCGTACCTACCTTACCTTACTTCGTAGCAGGCAGCATGGTAAGAAAAGGGGTGCTGTCATCTGCGTTATTGCCCTGGTGACCCAGCCAATCCAGACTCGTGCAAATCAGTTCAAAAAGGAAGTATCAGGCGGCAGGGCGGCGCCGGTGTAGGCACAGGATTTGCGTAGGAGGATGGGGAATGGGGGCACACACGAGGACCAAGAGAAAGAAGGGCCGTATAGACGGCCTTTCCCGGATTGTCAATGTCATCACTTTTTTTTTTAATTTTTTTTTTTATGAAAAGGCCCGGGGACATCTACTTGGCACACGCGATGTCAAGACCATTTTCACTCTTTGGTTGGGGGAGAGTGTTCCTGGTGTCCTGTTGACTAAAGTGTCCAAAGGTATTGAATTGTCGAGTTGCGATTGGGGCATCAGATTTACTCAGTCTCCTCCTCCCGCCGGTAATCCTCCGGTACAAGTTGTCCCATATTCGTAGCCATTGCCTTTCTCCTTCATCTCTCCACCATTGCCTGTATGACCTACATGTCTCCAACGTTCTTCCCACTTGTTCTAGCCAAGCCCGACGACGACGACGACGACCAACCGCCTGGACAGAACTTGTCTACTCTGTTCTGTTCTGCCCACGGTCTGTCCACAGAACAATCGTCGATCAAACGGCAACCTAATCGGGCGCAGCATGCATACAGCGAGATCACTTGACCCAGAGGCCAGCGCACTGTCGGAGTTGTGTGGTCCCACTTCTACCAGCGTATGCAACATCATATTCCCACTTCTCCATACGATCCAGCAATATCTGATCAAATAAGAGGGGAGGCAACAGTAGGATCCCGCGACGATTCCGTAGTCGGACGGGGCCAATCTGTCTTGGGACCAGGAAGGGACTTTCTCAGTGTGGCGTGGCGATGATTGGTACCAAGGCAGTGGACTGGGGAACGGGGAGACGGGCAATGACGGGGGAAGGGGAGCGCAAAAGAAACCGAGAACGGCATGTGCCTCTTCAGCTTTCGCGGTTGCTCCACGTCCGAGCGGGCACAAAAAGAAGACAAAAAAGGCGGATCGGGAGAAAGAAGAAGTAGAAGGAGAAGCAGAAGCAGAATAAGGCAGGGGAGTAAGGATGTTGCTTGATGGGTGCTGATCGCAAATCCCTCTCTCACGCTCTCACCCCGCTCCCCTTCTTTCTTCACTTCCTGATGCAAAGGTCCGTTCTAAGCACCCATTTCTCGCCTGCGCTGACCTCGCGCCCCTCGTGCTGTTGATAAGTGGAACATGTGTCAGTCTGCAGTGACCTTTGCTGCGACCAGGTATGGTGAAAATATCAAGGGACAGGTGTGTAGGCGGGAGGGATGCAGGGGTCCTCTTCTGCTACTCAGGTTGCCAGGTGGTACCGTAGTGCAGAGTGTGCATATCGAGTTTGGTGGTTGGGAGGGGAACTTTGCAGTGATGGGATTGGGGCACAGCAAGAGAGCGTGAGAAAGGAAGAAAAAGAGAGATGGAGAAGTGAGGCCGCAGCTGAGGTGGCCGTGGTTGGGTCCTCGTTTCGCGCCACTAAAAGCAATGAAAAAAAGGTACATGAGAGCGAATTGCCAACGAATACATCGTGGTGGCAAGGGTTAATGTTGCACAAAAAACGACAGGTTCAGGTACATCTGGCTATGGCCATGGTTCGTTCGGGGATCAGGGGAGGACGCATAGAGTTTTTGGAAGTATGAAAGGCTGAGAAATTTCTGAACAGAAGAGACTTACCAGCATGCAGTCGTCGCCGTGCTTGTGTAAGAGGAGCATACCCGTTTCGAGGGCGACCGGGATCTCCTCCTTGGCGGAGCGGCGGTCGTTGGGGAAGAAAACGGTCTCGCCGCCAACACAGCCCTCGGTGGAAGAGGTGAGATAGAGGAGCAGCGTCCAGGTTGTCTTGCATGTGACGGGTCCGGAGGAGGGGTTGAGGTTGAGTGATACGTTGTTAGAATCGTCGTCTGTAAGTGGGGGTCCACTGGTCAGCCTAGGTCGATCCTGAAGCTGGAGATGATGAGGAAGCCTGCACGGAAGACAAGTGAAAGGACACAGAAGAAAGAGTCAGAGCTCAAAAAGAACACCATAGGGTCTCCGGAATACAAGGCATGGCGGTCCTGGTTCTCTCAGTGCCGAGTTTTTTGTTTGGATAGGAAAATGCGAGATGTCGAGGGGTATCGCTGGATCGGACTCGCAGGCTCCCGGACTCATCTTCCTACATCATCCAGGGGGAGATAACGCCATGAAGCGGATCGGGATGGAACGATCCGCAGGGTTGTGGCTTCTGGGACAAATCGCTGGGTCTCTGGTGCTCGGATGGAAGATCGTGATGACTAGGAAAGTGCAAACAAAAGAGGACTGAGCGGAGGAGACAAGATATCATATATCATTTATGATCATCTGAAGGGCAGATCGCTGGTCCAGACACTTGTTGTGGGTCCCAACATCGTCTTCAAGGGCTAGCGGTTCAACGAATTCACATCTTTCAGCAGGTTTCTCATGCAGACTCGTAAGTCACGACCTGCTTCGTAGACACTGGTCTTGGATTCGACGTTGTTGAGACATGCATAGTAAGGGAACCGTGGTTAAACAAAGTGTCCACTCCACTGGAATGGGTCGATGAAGGTAATTGTCATGGGAAAGGGAAAACGTATGGACCGAGCATGACCAAATCCTCGTACAGTCTGCTTAGTGACGGGCATTGTGGGATGTCCACTCGGACCTGGGCAGTGGTTTTGCAACGGTCTCTGCAACCCATTTTCGGGAGCCCAGAACTGTCGATGTGTGGAGAGAGCTCTTCGTTGATGTCATGAGAAATAGCATGGCCATGCCCTCAAGACAAAAAGACTTGTGGAGCTCTGGCACATCGAAGTCTTTCGACGAGTGACAAATATGTGCAGCCTATGGCAATCGCGCGAGGACCTCAGAGCACTTGGCCACTGGCCTAGTTGCATAGAGGGGCGGGAATCTTGTTGGTTGACTGGCAGAGTGCCTAGTGCTCTCGGCGCCTGTGGCGTTGAATGACAAGAAAATGATTTGACTATGAGACTTACAATGTGCATCGAAGTACTGGCCCTTGGAGTAACGATAGATGCGAATATTGGGATTTAGACCGACGACTTCACCGCCCCTAGAGCGATCGATCCATGTAAGTAAGTCTCATGGCAAGCCCTCAGCAAAAAGACCTCGACGCAGGCGGTTTCTTCTTCTGTGTGGGTTTCATGTTTGTTATAACTGTTTTTGGACGCATTTGATTGTGCGCAGACGCTGGCGGATCTAGCCGGAAGCGCGTGGGATGCGTTGTTCGTGGCCAGGGTTTAATTCGGAGGGCCAGGGGATGGAATGAGTAGGGAGTCAGGGACTAGGGGAGTTGGAACAGAAGACAGTGGACTCACCATAAACCCTGAATGTCTTCTTGAGCAAGCGATTCGCGCAGCCCAGTCTCCGTCCACAGGCGTTGAGCAAAGGCAGCATCCTGCACTTGAAAACGGTCGTTCACTCTAACCGCTTCTCCCCGCTTAGGCCGACCAGGGGTAGTGATCAGCGGTAAACCCCTCAGAAAAGTGACATAAGAACTGCAGAGGGATTTTGGCCAAAAGTTGCGAATCAGGAGGACCTTGTCGGGGCAAGATGCGAGCTGGTCGGCAGCCAGGTCGGTGACAGGTAGCGGCGGCTTGAACTGAGGCCAAGCGGGCGGCGCGGCGGGAACTGAAGCTGCGGTCAACTTTGCATTGCCGCCATTGTTAGTTCCAGAGCCGGCCTTTGTCTTCCCGGCGGTTGTGTTTTTGGGTTTCCCCATGGTAAGGAGTACAGATAGGGTTCGTGCTGTGCCGTACAGAAAGAATGGAACGTGTTTCTCGGGATGATGTGCAGCGGGCCAAGTAATATCAGGTGGCTTATGGTTCCTGACGGCTGTCTGGGACACGACTGAGGCTCCCGCTAATATGTAGCAAAGTGGCGTGGCAGAGTCGGAGGCGTGGACGCCGACAGGCTGGTCTTTGCGAGAAACGTTGGGCAGGGGTTGACTGGTATGTATGTCGAGCGGTTGATTGGCTGTTGAATATTGGCCGAATCGAGTGTGCAAATCGTTGTTGCGCTTGTTTTGTGCTCCGAGATGTCGTTGGAGCCCTGAATATCAACCCACGTGAGAGTTGGCGTGGATAAACCAGGATGAGGGATGCTGGGAGTGGAATCGCGATTCGTTGGCTGGCTGAACCCTTTGATTATGACGTCCAATCTCTCGGCAAGTTGGGGGTTTCGTGCGTAGGGAGAAATGCGACTTTGTGGGCAGCAGAAAGAAAATAGAATGATGTTGACGTTGAGTGGTTCGTGATGGATAGAAGTGGGTTTGAATGATGAAGTGCAGGCGCTAAGGTCAATCAATGTACTCCGTAGCCTTGTGTGGCGGCGTGGCAGGTGGTGGTAAGGTACTGTGTGCGGCTCACAGTGTGGACGGTGCTTTTTTTTTTTTTTTTTTTTTAAGGCGTGTGCCAACCTGGGAAGCCGCGCCTTACCCGACCGCCGCCGCTTTCCTTCAGATCCCCGGTGGACCCATGCCAAAGTAGACCCATTTCTCCGGGGGCCCGGGGGAGACGCCGCCGGGACCAGGGCCTGGATGGATGGGCAGCGCTAAGCATTGGTCTCGCTCGATCTTGTGAGAATCGCCTTTTCTTCCCAGTCACAGTCACGGACTCACAGTAAAGTGAACCCTCCCTGTCTTTCCCTGCCTTTCGTCACATCTCAAGCAGCCAGCCTCCGTCTCTGTGTCTGCTTTTTCATCAGAAAGTGACAATTGACCAAAATCCCATTTCCCCTCTGCCATGTCCGGGTTTTCCTTGACATCTTCGGTACTCGTGACTAAAGCCTGCAGCCTGGCGTGCTCCTAGCAATTACGACTAAGATTCACACGCATCCCTTTCCTCTCTGTCGGATTTCAGTCTGTGCGCAGCGTCCCGTCGCTTTGGCGCCATTACCTGTCGGCTCTCGCGACCTGGAGCTTGCTAAATTTGACCACAACGCTGAATTGGAAGAGTCGATGGGGGTAAAGGGCAGCGGTTACGAACTAGGGATCTTTACACAGTAGTGTATAGAGGGTAGGGTGCTACGCGAGAGACCCACGACGGTTATTAGCAAACTTTCGGTAACGCGGTTGCTCCCGTCGCCCCTTCGAACCTTCTGTCGTACAATGCTAAGTTGCTTGTTTTTGGGGTGGCCTGTTGGGGCAATCGGCTCATTGCATGTCAAACGGCACTTGTTGATAGCTGATAGGCAAACGTTGAACTTGGCCGTCACGGCACATAGCACAGCACGGCCGCATTGGCCCATCTAATCAATCTGACAATAACACGATGCAATCTGGCAATCTGATCCGTGACCCAGTGTTGTGGTAAAGGAACCGTGGCACCCCAGGTTGGAAAAGTACGATAAACTCGCGCCTCGGCGATCGCGGAGATTCGCACCTGCACTGCACTGCACTGCATGTCGAAAAATCTGGTTCGTTGCTAAAATCCCTCATCAACAGTAGCAACTCAGAACTGGGATTTACCAAGAGAAATATTCTGCTGTGGATAGGCCTCACTTTTGGCTGGATCCTCGACGTAATTGGGTGCTGACTTCGTGACTATTGCCTTTCCTGGCTGAGGCGCTAGATCTCGTAGGAAGTGATATATGACGGGACCCGAGAAGTCGTAGGTCTGTCGCGTCACAAAACCTGCCAACCTCCTGATTGATCGCTGCACATCTGACCTCGTCAGTCGCTTTGACCTTGAAGAACAGGACTCATCCTTGTTCATCGCAGGAGAGTTGTCTCGCGCTGTAAGTCATCTCCCCCATGATGTGAGACTGCAGGTATCCTTCTTTGATCATGAAGAAGACAATCAATTTGTGATGAAACCGAGTTTGACCTGAGACAATCCGGTCAATTTGGAACTCGTCAGTAACCGTGAGCCAACACATGTCTCCCATCGAAATCGATTGTGGCTTCTTTGTCTTGAAATGTTTGTCGAACCAGGTGCCCGACTGTCGGGACGCCGTTCTCCTTGATCCAGCGTATCCATATGCTGGAGGAAGGGGAACTCTGCTGCAGTCTCCACAGACAACGACTGACAACGCACCCCGCTGATGATGCTTTTTTGCGATGGGCTACCTTCTCTTTTGCGACTCGACCCGAAATCACATCTCACGAACGTGAATGCGATAGCTTCACCCACTTTGCATCGTCCGCAATCCACCTCATGAGCACATGATGCCTCGACCCAGTGTTTTCGTCATTTTGCGGATTCTCAACCTGATGCGCCCGTTCAGCACCTAGATCGCTCTGGTTCTGCACGAAGACCACGATCATAATCTACCCGGTCCTTTGTCATCGTAGCGCCATTGACGACAACGTGACAGCGGTATTCTTGCTTTCGGTTTTGCGTGAAGTGAGGTCTGCCCAAGCAAGGGTCATTGAGCTAGGCAAAAGATGGTATTCCGCAAGCGAATGGACTGTTGTAAGTTTGCTGTGGTGACATCGCATCGGGTATCAGCAGGATCAAGTGCTTGTGATCCCTAGCATAGATGAAGAACTTGGTTTTTCAACGGTGGTTAATTAGAAGAAGTGTTGTCAATGAACGATCGCGTTTGGTGTTTGGCCATTTGCCGAGCCTGCATTGTGCGCCTTTACCAGACATATCGCGCATGCGCTGGGGAACCCAGCAGCTTGGTGCAACCAAAAACCGACAGAGTGTCACGAAATCGTCAAAATCCATCAGCGATCCAGCAATCAAGATCTCGGACAATCGATCGCTGCCGAGACAAGCATGTCTTCAGGTCTGTTTGCAGTTGGCGAATGAAGGCCTCCGAGCTGGGGGCATGAATCGTAAAACAAGTAGGCCCGTGAGGTGTCGATGGCGTGTAAGTGCAGGTAATTGAGAAACGACACTTGATCTGTCATTTTGACGGTCTCGAACAGAGACTTGTCGCTGAAAAGCCTCCCAGTATCCAGTGGACAAGTTGAATAGACGGCGGGGTCTAGGCATCTCGCCAGATGCAGCCATCAGCGAAGCTGGGCAAGCCCCGGGGAAAGCATCCGGCCATCTGACTGGCATGTCATCTGCAGGTGATTTCGACTGATGGGAGCAGCCGTTGCAAGGTGGGCTGTCGTCCCAAGATGGGGTGAAAGGCAAAATTGGTCGTATCTTGCGGGCCATGTTGATTGGGCATCGTAATCATGGGGAGCGCTGTGTGCCAATGCTTGACAAGGGCTTTAGCGCAGCCATCTATTCCGTAGCGCCAAGGAGCATGTTTGACCACTGCGATTGCCAGCAGGTCATCTGCAAAGGCCGGAGGGGGAGGCCGGATGGCTTTCGCGGACGCAATCTCGAGGTCCCCGCCCTTCTTCTTATGCCGTCCACGCTGTGGCTTGGCTGCCGCAGTCGTAGTTACAGTCGCAGTGTACCTGGCAAGTCTGGATGTGTGGCTTCTGGAAGATGTGTTGTGTTGACAGTGGGCCACCGTGCATTTCGTCCGTAGCGAACGGTAGCATTTCGTCAGTTGCCAGCATGCCGCGAAATTGCAAGATACAGATACGAGGCAAAGTAGGGTGTGTTGACAAGATAAAAATTTCTAAATTTGAGTTGGGCGAGTCCGTTTGCGTCATTAGCATCTTCTTCAGTGACTGCGAGGTGCATTATGCTGTTGAGAAGACGTGGAAGCAAAACACCACATAAGGGGAGGAGATGAGCTGGTAAGCCAGGAGCATCGCTGTAACCTGGAAGAAACTCCAGGTCTCTTGCCAATTGGAAACCTTGACCGGCACTGAAGCCGATCTGTTCCGGCTTACGTACCAGCCTTACATAATACACCCAGCATGTTGCTAGCTTACCGGATTAGCAGTGGTGTATGCACAAGACGGGACGCCAAGTCTGCTTTGTTGCATATCCAGGTACAGGGCCCGAAAATTTTAGTGGCGGGAACTTCCTTTCCCCGACTTCCAATTCAGAGGAGCTCCCAAGTCAGTCTGTCCCGCAAGAGCTCCGCTTTACCTCCCCAGTCCGTCAACACCAACCGCGCAAGGGACTCCATCGACACCCGTCTCGATCAATTGAACCGGCAGATGCCGCTCTAAGCTTGGTGAGTTACTCCGAGAAAGCCACGATGGTCTGTTTTATCTGACAACAGCTTCAATAAAGGGGGAAAATCCGATGCTCGCGCAACTCTCCCCGATCGCAATGGCTTCCCAGAATGAGTCGCCTGACACTCGCCCGACGCGGTCGCAGGCCCAGTCAACATCCTCGCCTTTCCAATCGAGGGCTGCGAAACAACTCGGCCTCTTCTTTGCCGGAGCCGGCTTCTTCGTCTTTTCGGCAATGGTTACCCGACGCTCCGTAGCCCGCAAACAACTCGCTGCCTTCCCGAAATTCTATCAACCCAGCCACTATGCCGCTGGCAAACAAGGAAACCCCGAGGGTGGCATGATTGCCGTCGAGGCTCTGAATCTGGCAACACTGAACGTCATGAGCTTCGCGATCATGATGACTGGGGGCGCTGCTTGGGCATTTGATGTATCTTCGGTCGACGACTTGAGAGAGATGGCTAGGAGAAGCATCCGCGGAGCGGCTGGCCAGACGGACGAGGCGGCCGAGAAGGAGTTCGAGGAATGGGCTGCAAATATTTTGACAAAATTCGGCAAGATGCCGGAAGAGGGCAAAACACAAGACGACACCAAGACCGAGGCCAATCCAAAGACAAGCAAGTAAGGACGGCGAAGTGGCTACTTCTAGACCATGCTTATGCTTAACCCCTCGTCGCGAACTGTTGAAGCTCCCTGGGAAGGCCTCGCATTTGGATGCTACCAGCTCGTTCCCGCCGCGGCGCAATGTACAATTGATAAGGCGAATATCGCCCCTTAAGACACATCTCACCATCAAGCGCTTGAACAGCTAGCACTGCCCGCCCTGAGCTAGCATTGCTGCCAGCACTCCTGTGGCACTCGTGAGCATACGAGACCGGAGGGGGTTGTCGAAATGGTGAAGCCACCAAGGCGGCGGTATTGACCGTGGTCTCAGCCTGTGGCGGCGATTCGGTGGCCTCGGTCCAAGTTTACAAAGGGGCTCTGGGTTCTGCATCGCGGCGTTCCTGGCATCATACGGATAGGGCGATCAGTTATGCTGTCTTAGAGCTGCCTCAGAACCGCAATTTGTGGACCGCAGAGACTCGATAACTTCATGGAGAAAAGGGGTTTAAGTCCATGTTCGACTTAAATCCTGGCGGGGTCACCGCTTAGAAGCTAGTGGCTGAGGAGGTTTTGCAGGCGTCCGGCTACTCCACGTCTGCGCAGTCTGGATGGTGTTCCGGCATGGTCAAACAACCAATGGCGTGTCTCGCCCTATCACTTCTCAGAATTTCGCGTTCCATGTTCATGACATTTCTTTTGAAATGAGTCTCTCTCTGCCTGCACCGAACAAGCGCCATGCTACGCTGCCGCGAAGGATTTCTTGCTATTCAGACGGCGTCAATGGCGTCAAAAAGGTGTAACATTTGGATATAGTTGTCGCAGATGATGCCTTTTTCCCGCTCCCGAGACGTTTGACTCGAAGCTCTTTCTCATGTCGACTACCAGCAATGTTCCAAGTCCAAGTGGCCAATGACGAGAGAGGTGGAAGATACGAACTGGCTGAAAGCCATGTTCCGATACAAACTGGTGCTTGGTACGCAATTGCGAAGGCACTGGCTGGCATACCTATACAACCACACAAGCCGGTGCAAAGCAGCAAGGTCTCGAGGGTGGAGAAAGGGTCCGAGACAGCCATGGCCTTCCTATACAAATCACCCCCCCAGTCGTCCCGGCCTGCCCCGTCATAATCCCTGGTCTGTCGTCGACAAGGATTCATACCTTACGGCCCTAGGTACCCAGCAGATCGCCCTCTAGTGCATCCTGGGATTTCTTCCACGTACTTCGTACACGCCCTTACCCCTTGTCCCCAAGGTACGTCCGCAAGAGATGGGAGGGTGTCGACTAGGATTGCGTACGAGTTCATACAGGCGGATGTGCGACGAGGCTTCCGCTGCAGCTCCTCCATGACCCATGGTATGGGTATCGGACCCGAATCGATGCCAAGTCGCATATGGTACCGTCAAGTGCCCTAGGCGTATGCGTTCACGCTTCTCTCATATTCCGATTTGTGTTATAAAATTCGTCACTTCCTCGTCAGCACTTCTGGTCACCGCTCCTCCATGTTTCTTCACCTATATCACTCTGCCTGATATTGACACTTCGACGTTGTCTTTGCACATCACCTACTACTCTATATTCACAGCGTGGCCCGGTTTCGACACATCCACCAACGTAACGTCGACTCTTACCAAGCTATGAGCCACACCCATATCTATTTAACCTCGTGGTGGTGTTGATATCTGCGTCTCGCGGCTTGCCCCCTTCTTTCTTTCTTTCTTCCTTTTCATCCGACCAGCAGTCTTCCTTGTAAGACGACATGGCAAATACTACGCTTCTGGATAGCGATCCAGCCAACACAAACATGCAGCCAGCGCATGGCACCCTCGTTCATGATGGGCGATCCCTCGACGGCCAGGAGTACCAACGAGGTGATCCGGTGGCCATCATCGAGAACGGCACGGGAGAGGACCTTTCAGATGCGCTTCATATTCTCAACCTCCGGACTAATCAGTGTATGCTCATGCCTTTGAAGGTTGTCTGTTGGGTTCCGACTCACACTGAACAACGATCTGGAACCACTTTCCTGCTTACATTGTACGGGCCGAGCCTGGATTTCCGTCGTTCCGCCTCGGAGCGCCCTCAGATGGGATATCGTGGCATCGCAACGCTCTATGGCTCGTGCGTCTACGTTGGACGCGAAGTCATGCTGGAGGGCAATGCATCGAGAGTCAACCTGGAGCCCGCCAACAGAGTCTCCTTATTTACGGCCCAGTGGGATGCACTCTCTCTCAGCGTGGATGTGCAACAGCCTGCATTGACTCCTTCAGCGTCGTCTTGCGCATCGTCTCGAAGCCCTTCTGAATCAGGGGACGATGTTCCGCCTCCTCGATTCTACCGCGTTCAAGGACGTCGAGACTCTGCCATTGAAATTCGAGACCCTGATTCTCCCATTTACAAGTCTTCTGTGGGACGAATGGTGAGCACTCTACTTTGAAAGCCACGACTGTCCAGAACTTCAGCTGACCACTCTTGATCTTGAACAGTCCACCTCACCTAAGCCGTTCCACATTCCCACCGCATCATTTGCAACGAAGCAAAACACACGTGTTGTCGCTGAAGCACCAAAAGTCCGACCATATGGAAGCAACCCTTGGTCAGATCTGGAATCTGATGACGAGTTCAGCTTCGACATTGATCCATCTTTCAGCCTCGATCCTGCCTTTGCTGACAACCTGGACCTATGCATTGGCGAGCATCAAATGGACGGTATGATTGCAGACGCTGATCTGCAAGTCAACTTTGTTTTCATGCCGCAGAACGAGAGTAGCAACTACGTACCTGGACAACATGACCAGCAAAGGCCGGGTGCCAACGCCCAGGAGCCTATGTGGGCCACACAAGGCCTCAACGCAGATAACGGCAATGCTTGGGATACTTTGCAGATGCCACAACACCACGTCCCGGAAATGCGGCAACCACAGTTGCCAATGCCTCAGCGACAACAGGCGCTGCCCTCGAGGACAGTCAGCCATGCCGATTACTACGAACAGTATCGCCTTGCGGAGGAGCAAGGCAGCTCTCACAACCATAATGGACCTGTGGGGCACCATTCTCAGCAACCGGAAGCTGTTCACATGCACAATGACCCTCGCGCGGGCTACTTGCCATCTCAGATTCCTCCTTCAAACGCTTCGCAGCCCCTCCAAGATTTCCAAATACACCCACGGTATCCGGAACAGTCGAGTAGACTCCCGATCCCAGGCACCTCGTTCCCTGCGCCTCAAGAGGTTCACGTCATTCAGAGCAACCGCTCCGCACCCCGACCATCATACCCCCTTCCGTCGAGCTCTTACAGCCCGGTACAGGAAGGCAGTTTGCCTTCGACTTCACAAAACCAACAGCCAAGGCGAAGCCCGCGTCCTGACGATTCTCGACCTTCGAGCACACGCGGGACGCCAGTAATAGCTCGCCGAGCACCGGCTCAACCCGTTCATACGTTTACACCGAGTAGAATTATCGACTCCTTCCGACAGAGCACACAAGCTCACATCAGTTCCTTAGAGGGCCATTACGAGCAATTACAGCAGAGCCAAGCTAGTGATGATCAACTTCGCCCAGCGAACGAGTCGCTTCAGGCTGCTCAAAGGAACATTGATGAGGCTTTGCAGCTTCTCAGCCTGCTTCAGCCGATCACTGGTATCCCATTAAAAGGAACAGAGAAGAGGCTTCAGTCGATCGCTGATCAGATCGTCGATGCAATCAAGAGTCTGCTTCCTGACGGCCCCGAGAGTTCTAACAAGAGCATCGAACAGCTGAGCCAAAAGGTACAAAGCCTCAAGGAATTCATCGAGTACGTTGAGGGAGTTCACCCCGAAGTGGTCAAGCGCGCACAGGACCCCGCGGCAGCGTCTACGGACAAGAGCCAAAAGGTACCAGTCACGACTACGAACCGAGTACCCTCTGCTCCCGCGTCCGTTTCTTCTCACACTGCGGATGAGTCTGACTCCTGTCGCTGGGTGGACGGCCAAGCTACACCACCGCCGGATCGCTCTGCAGCAATGGCCTTGAACCGAGACCGCTCCCGCATGTTCCGGGACATGACTACTGCTCACGGCCGTCGTCCTGAGCCTCGCATCAACACCGCCCCAGAGTACTATGCTCCCACCAGCTACAGCCAGCCGTCATCCCGAATTCATTCGCCGTTGGCTACACACTCTGCGCCCGCCGAGCCTCCACATGCTGTCGGCCATGGCTTCTTCCAGCAACCTCTCCCGACACAAATGCAGCAGACGATGCCCATCACCGACTTTGGTGCCCCGATGCAAGATCGAGCAATGCACGCGTACCCGCCTCCTACCTCAGTCGAGATGATGCGGCCGATGCAACCTGTGTCGAGCCTCCCACCTCAGCACTACACGACACAGCAGGAGAGCAACTTCTACCTCCGGCCACCGCCACCAAACTGCCTGTACCCAACGACGGGAGCCGAGATGTCCCAGGCTGCGTACGCTCCGCGGTCGCCAGTCGGTTTCCAGCCGGGCCAGGGTCCAGCGCAGACGAACTACTACCCGGACATGCGGTCTGGTCTTCCGGACCGGCGAACGGTTCGCCAGGAGCGGCCCGCTCCTTACTCCCTCAACTACAGGGATCAACGGCGACGACGGGGAAGCCACTGAAGGGCCTCTCCTATTCCACACAAAAGATTTTAGACACGTACATAGATTGGTTTCTGACTGGCTTTTTTCCCCTTTTGCCATTCAACTGTGTTGATGGCTCATCTTTATTTGTTTTCTTTTCTGGTTCAAGCTAGCGAGCATTTGATATCCTGCATCTCTTTATGGCGAGGCGTTCTCGGAGCGAGATCGATTGTATTCTCGGGACGAACTGGCTGCTGGAAGATGTATTTCAAACATTACGGCCCTTTAATTTCTAACTCTTAAGCATATTTCAAAATTGTTACGAGGCTTTTATTGTTTCTGCGGGAGTTGGTGAAGGGCTTGGAGACGGAGGGGTGACGAGGACATTGGGTACACGAAAGACATGTCCACGTGAACGAAGGGGGACTGTTTGATATGGGGTTACTCGGGGCTGGCCATGTAAAAAGCTTATGATGTTTATAGAATGAATGACAAAAGACTGAATCAACAACCTGACTGTCCTTCAATTACGTGATGTACCGATGTCCCGCAGAATGGGGACCGAGTGTGCGAACAAGACATGACAAACCATACCACCCGACCGCCCGACTTCCTCGGGCTCCGAGGGCCCATACAGGCTACTTTTCACATGCATACTGACAAGCACAACCACCGAACCGGCCGGCGGACAGATATCAGGTAAAGCAGGTATCACTGGTCTACCGGACCGGGGGGGTTTCGGTGGCCTAGCACGGACCCGCCCCCGTCCGGGGTTCATTTGCTCCACTAGCGGGAAGCCGGGATCTGCCCGGCTACGACAGCAACTGACGCAAGCTAGCGACCCGAATTGGTATATGCTCCGTCGCCGAGCATCTGACTACAGCCGAATCGTCAGAGAACGTCCTGCCGCCTGGTTCTTACGTTTCGCAGACCAAGGAATAGGAGAGAGAGAGAGGGGAAACAGCTCTCGGTACCGGTCGTTGATTGGGGGCCCTGGAACACTTGGAATTCATGCCTCGGCAGGATCGTAGTTAGCGTGCTAAGGGGGCTTATGCATACGGTTCGGTCTCCGTTGAAGATAGTGAAGATCAGTGGAATGTGAACCCCTCTTTCTCTCTATTCACTAGTGACTACGTAGTCCTCGTTCCCCGACTTGCTTTCTGTCGGTGAGGCGATTGACGACGTATCCATTCGCCTGTCCTGTGGTTTGATGCGATAGGTGAAGGAAAGCCCGGATGACGATTGATGTGGGTTCCCATTCGTAGGGGCCCCATACGGAGAATTCACCTCCCATGCGGAGCTGGCTTCTGTTCCCGGTGACGGACGGGACGGGTGTCCTTGCTCCGCCTCCTTTCATCGGCATAATGAGACGTCGATGCGCCGAGGCAGAGACGGCGATGACTTCCCCTGTTGGAAAGGGACCGAGTTCTGGACGTCTATATAAGACTCACGGCCTTCACGACCAACAACGTTCCCTACGAACCCATCTACGGAGACTTTGAGCGACAACCTTAATCATCTGACGCCAAATAACATCTTTACCTCTACCGTAAGACCTTTACAGATTATACAATATGGCCATCACCAGAATCGGACTCATTGCCCTCGCCGACGGCCCTCAGCAAGATGAGGCAGTGAAGAGGTTCAGCAACTTTGTCAATGACTGCAAAAAGGTAAGTTCAAGTCTCATGCTTGACTTCACCGCCATGAACACCTGTAAGACATGTTTGCTGACTTGTTGTTCTCTTTGGGAACGTTAGGAGGACGGCTCAACGTACCTCGTTGCCTCAAAGGCTAGCAAGTGCAAGGTTCTCACAGACGTCCCGGGATCCCAGGCATGGTCCGTCGTTTACGAGATCACCTTTGCCAATGACGCGTATGTACATCCTTCCATTTTTTTCGCTTCCTCTTAGAGTGAAATCGTCAGACCATGCGCATCAAATTGCGAAATATCTTACTGACGATGACGGGCATGATTAGGGATATGGAGTACTACCAGACAAAGGATCCAATTTACCAGGAGCTGATGAAGCAAGCGGCCGAGGGCAAGGCAACGGGCTTCATTGCTGTGTCTGCAGAGTTCTAGATGCTGGTTGTGTAGACATCCGATGAAACTTTAGCACGAATTTATGAAGCATGTTTCAGTAGAGTAGCGCGCGTGTAGTCCATCTCTGTGACAAGAGCGAAGCCTGGAGATTTGGTGCAATACGGCATCACGTTTTTCATGTAGTGGGATTACTGCAAAGAGTGCTGCTTCTGTTGAAATATGTCGTGACTATCGCCATTGATTGCCTGTTAGCAATGAGCTGGATGAATGCATACGGAGATTCTGTGAGCATGAAACTATTGATTAGGGTGGCCGCAAGACTAACGCCTCGTAGATTCAGCGAAGAAATACTCATACCTGACGACTACAAACGGCACCGATACTAGATGTAAAGTCATCGGACAAACGTGACTCATTCTGAATTCCCTTGAAGCTTTCAACCCTCTCTCTCCCTCTCTCCCTCTCTCTCTCTCTCTCTCTCTCTCACACACACAAACACACACACACACATATTGCAGCAAACCGATCCGTTGGGTTACGAGGTGCAAAAGACTGTCTGCAAGGGCCAGTAAGGCAGCTCATGTGCATATGCGTCATATCTTGCTTGGTGATGGTCCTGATAGCCTTCTAGTATACTTGATCACCTAGAACTAAGAACTCTAATTTCATTCGAATCCTCTAGATAGGAAATAACGTGTATATATTGCGAAGTCTTCGATGTGCTTATAGATAAAGTCGCCTTATAGTTCTGCTATAAGGGGCGTAGAGCCAAACCCTTTTTATGTGGTCTGATGATTACTTTACGCATAGATGGTCAGGCAAGCCGCTTAAGATACTCCCGCTTTCTGGAAGGCTAACGAAAGAGACGATTTCGACATTTGATATTCGAGCCTACTATAAGTCTGAAGTATCTCACGATGAGACGGCAGGGGATCTTTAACAGGCGGGCCCCTGTCTCCAATACGGGTTAGATAGTTATTCATTCGAATAGTCTGCCATGCCCGAAGACATGACGACGCTTCGGGCATGACGGCGATGTGAGAAGATGTTATTCGAGAGTCACATATGACACCATAGGTCTTTGGGGAAGACACTTGGAGAGACGTCTCAATACTCATCATGGCCAACTGCAACAATCTGAGCTGGGGGACCTCAGATTACATGAATGGGAATGCAAGAGCGCTTGCGAGTCTCTGTCTGCTGCTTTTATGAGATACTCAGCTCATGCTCCAATCTGATTAGACATCCAACTCAGACGAGGGACTCAAGACGACCGGCAAATGGTGACTCGTCTTTAGCTACGCGAGAAAAGAAAACCACCCATATTTCTGCCTTAACCTCAAGAAAAGCCTCACTCACAGTAGCGTCCCGCCGGTATATTTATTTATGTAACGTCGACATCCGTGGCGGCTAGCGTGCCGCGGCATTCGACCTCGAAAGATGGCAGGACTATGCCAACGACCAAGACAGACTCTGTGCCAGGTAAGACCGTGGCTCCTCCGGTGTTTTTGCTGCTGCTAGACCTCTCTCGAGCGTTTGTCCACGACCATTATCCATGACCTTTGCTCTACAAGGACCTGATAATGAGGAATAGTGGCAATATGATGCGCCTCTTTGAAAAAGGTACTGTTATCTGGACACTCGCACCTTTATCTCCAAGTCAAAGCTTTGAAGCAGCCCTTGATAGGCTGGCGAGATAGAGATCAACGACTCAATGGGCGTGTCAAGGCGAAGTGTCCGCAGGTCGATTACCTTCCAATCCTTGCGATACATCCGCAACCGAAATGAGAAGGGCAACCATATTCTCTCATCAGTGGTCGTGACTGTTCTACGGAGCCCGATATTGCAAAACAATTCCCTCAACTCGACCCAAGCTCATCCGTCACGGGCAGATCTCCACACAGAAATCTCAAAAGTGGTAACAAAATGTGCACTACAACCTCAGAACCCAAGTTCGAGGCTAAGAGAGGCTTCGAGATCCGGTACCCCCTCCACCTTGACTGTACCCAAACCCACCCCTCAGAACTAACCCACATTCCACCAAGGCGTCCTTCATGAGGAAAAAGGGCTCGGAAAAACAACCAAGAGACCAACGACGTGCGGGAACGTCATCAACGGACTATCATACTTGCGTCTCAACCGTCCGTATGCCAAAATGTCCGTCATTCGTCTCATCACAAGGACCGCTGCTATTCTTCGCCTTTCTCCCAAAGACCGTTCGCCCCATTTCTCTCAGCTTAACCACTTACACCACGACAATCATCACCGGCACTAAGCAACTCACTAAATGAACTTTCTGCCACAGTTCAAGTACACACGATAAAACCTTGGAAAGGTATCGGAAAGTATCCAATAGCCATACCCTTTATCCTCGGCGAAGTCGAGAAACTTAACATTGACGGGACGCAAAGAGATCCTTCCGCCTCGCCGTCAAAGACAAGAGACATCGCAGGGGTGAGAGGAGTGAGGGCGGTGATGCCTCGAAGCAAAAGCAAAACGAGACGATTACTTACAAAAAAAGCAACACCATTAGGGAGAACTCGAATAACCTCCGCCGCCAATACGGTGGCCCAAGCTACCTCAATCCCGCCGGCGTGTAAGCACCAAGGTAAGATTAATCTACAGAGCTTTCCCTCACCTCACCTTTGCCCCTACGCCCCCTTCCAAAGGTGAAAGACAGCCGAGGTCCCTGCCAAAAACAGTAATCGATTCGTCGCCGACAGACAGAAAAAAAACAACAGCAAACATCGCCGTCCAGAATTGAGCAAGGCCCGCCACAATGCCAGTGTCTAAACAAAAACTTCGCACACACCCCAGCCCTTAGCATTTAAAGTTACTCCCGACTTACGACGAACCTTCAAGCTCCAATCAAAACATGGTTTGCGAGTGTTTAGTGAACACCCGAGCAGTTCATGCCACCACCTTACCCTCCCTCCCCAATCTGCACAGCTTCTTCCCCCTCGGACTTGGACCTTCATGAGCCGAGGCCGTCAAGGAGAAAAATAAAACAGAAAGACACAAGCTCTAACCAACGCCCTCAACTCTCCTCTCCTCTCACTCTAAATGTGACGAACCTTTCTTCACATAGATCCTACAACCTCGGTGATTTGAAACGCAGATGGCTCCCAATTCCGAGGTCCGTCTCAAGGTAAGAAAAGTCCATGATTTAGACTTTCTGTGATGCTCTCTCTCCCACCGGCTCCGCGGGGGTTTCCCACCAACACACTTACCCGGAGCAAGGTGCCCGGACTTTGTAGAATCAAATCGCCGATCCGGTTGCCCGCGGGTCTCCGCGCGGCAAGTGTCATCCGGACGAGAAAGACGGGCGTTGTCGTTCGACGCGGCCGTGTTACTCAGTCAAGAGTCCGTCCTGAACAGGACACAGGGTCATCCTTCGCCCCGGGAAGTCAGCTCCGCGACAATACTAGACCGTGGTCTTCGAAATACTTGAAGAAAAGGACGCGGCGTTTCCTCTAACTTTTGCCGCATTACATTAGGGGTCCAACATGCAGAACCCTATTGTGTGTGTGTGTCTGTGTACCTGTGTGCGCGGACAAAAGTATCGCGCGCAGCCGCGGCGACCTCAAAAGCAGGCAGCCCGGTAGCCTAGAGACTGTGAGCCCGTCGGGGACATTGATCAAATTCTGCCTTGCAAACACTTGTTCGCGAACAGAACGAGTTGAGTTCGGTCCATCATGGGGTCATCCATGGCTGTCCGTGCCTTTGCGCACGATCGCGGTAAAACGCAGAGGTTAATCTTGACACTTGCAGCGCTTATAGGCACCACTCCGGGAAAGGAGACGTTAGACGAATGTACTCACTCCAGTGAAGTCGGACTTGTCTTTCGAGGGCGCAAGACATCTTCGCGGGAATCGTTCTCGAGAATGAGTCGGGCGAATACTGAATCGCCCGACGATGTAGACTCTCTCTCGGCCCACAAGTTGGAGCATTTGCCAAATCCGACACGCCGATTCCGCCGGTTTCGGCATGAGAAGACGGGCTTTCTTCAGAGACAATCCCGATGAAACTGGCAGGTCGCGCCATCACCGCCGTCCGAGTCCCGAACGCATCTCGATCATTAAACCGGCCGTGGCAATAACGATTCCGGTTGCCAGCCATGCGTTTGACTGGGGTCACTGCGTCGCCAGCCCGGGTGCCAGTCACCGCTCTACCGCTCTGCCGCTTTCAGATGCCGGGAGAAGACCGGCGTGGGCATCGGCAGGATGCACTGTGGGGGCCCCACTCCTCCGTGACGGCGGGATGACTGATCGGGGTTCATCGTACGACGACTTTTTGGTTGCAAATCAAGCCGCCCTACCCATCCCCACTGCAAGACAAATCACCAATGACCTCCACTGTAATTTTAATTTTTTTTGCAGTCTCACGATAGTAACACTGGAGCGCGCACACCATGGGCGTCCCTCTCGGCATCAGTGGGGCGGACTTTGGTCGGAAGACGTTCGGGCAGGTGGTGACCGTTTCCTTCTCTAGATCGCGGCGCGCTTGAGCCACGGAAGTGACCAGCATACAGTAGTGAATAAAGGGTTTCGTGCTCATCTTTGGGCCTGTCCGGCGATACATTGCCATTCTCGTAACTTATGAGGTAATGGTAGCGATGAGGTATTTCTGTGTACGGGAGGCTGGTTGCTGCACTGCTCCAACCAACGCTGGCATTTTTGAAGCTGTGATAAGAGAATTCGATATCGTGTGGAGTCTGAACGCACTTCGTGATCGCAAATTCGACATGTTTGACTCGTGCGAACGTGGACTGCCTTGGCAGCCACCGACTTTTTGCTGCTGATGACTGTTAAACATCCGCAAATCATTTTGTAGTGTGACGGAACAGGAAACCAAACTGACACATGATTTCTAACCAGGTACGAGAGAGAAAAGCTTGGCAAGCTATCATTGCAGATCCGAGATCTGTTTCCCACCGTTGCAGCGGCTGACTGACAGGCTCTGGCCGAACTTGACCAAGGCAGAGGCCCATGCGCTCCCTGGATCATGATGCTTGGGGCTTAGCTAGGCGTGGATGTGTG